GGCCATATAGTTTTGAAATATGGGTTCCCGTACGATCGCCGAAGTTAAGCAACGTCGAGCCTGGTCTTTACCTAGATGGGTAACTGCCTGGGAATACCAGGTTCTGTAAGCTTGGGTGCGCGGGTGTTTTAATGGATAATGACGCGGAAGTGTCAATCGGAGAGCCGAGTTCTAATTTCAGTTGGGTTCGTTATATTCAATTACACACAAAACCCCTGAGCCAGGTACAAATCCGTCTCTTTTTGCCCAGTTATGGGTTAATGAATAAGATATCTATCACTAAATTATCATCATCTCTGTTGTAACCTAGAAAGGGTTATCAAATGAGGACTGACCAAAACGGAGGTTGGAAATGAGATGTTAATCTTTATAACATCAACAAAATACAATACTCGCCAGCGGCGTGAAGTAGGTAAACCACTGCTAGTGGTTGACTACTTAGACAGCATATTACCCCCACTTACAATAGTGTCCAAAGTGTTTATAGGAATTGATCCATACCCATTAGTGTTCATAGTTACAGTATATAAAAATCTCCAAAAAATTTCTAACAATCTAAAAATGTTTGCTGGCTTTAAATAACCTGCAAAGGTTTGATAAACCGTAGAAAAACGAATTAATCTATCAATCAATAATCAAGTCCATGTCTTCGCACAGCGGATTGATTGTTACAAACATCCAATCGGATGTGCGGAATACGTGGTCTTTCTTCTTATTCTTTAAAAAGGCTAGAGTAGCTGTTAACGTTTGATTAGGAGGGAGAATCAGGGGTTGATCTCCCCTGATTGGGTCGATTTAGTGATGGGGAGTATGATGTTGAAAGACCCGAAAATCCCTGATGAACCAAGTCAAAACATCACTGACGACCCCCTTGGGCGCCTACTTAAAAGTGTATTTTCGAATTAAACGAATTTTGAGCAGGAGTAGAGGTTTATCCCTTGTTTCCTGTTTAGGATTGAGTTTCCATCTCCTAAAGTCTTCACATTTTCTTTCATTCCTAGTAACCATTTGCATCTTAGTGGTATTATCACCTTACTTAGGATGAAAGGATAATAAAAAAAAAGGTTTTGGTGATTGGTGAAAATAAACAGCTAAAAGAAGAATATAAGTAACATACGATGTGTCTAACTTATTTGTATCATGGGAAATCCGACCAGAAGCAATGTGATCACTCGTCAGCATATAATAAGCATCTTAAGTATTTAAGAAGTTTATCTTAAAATCCGAAATAAAGATGGAAAATTTGAGTTACATAACGGGGTAAAAAGGCTTGAAGAATTTCACAGGACATACTGGATGTAGCAAAAGCAAAGGAAAACAACGAGTTTATGCGAATGCGTGACAGGCACAAAAGGCCCAGATATGATAAAATGTAAATGTTACTTACAATAGAAAAGATTAGAAAGTTGTAAAGAACAATTATCGCTCTCATCTTGAAGTTGAAACTAAAAACCAAGATATCTGTTTCGTAGTTCAATATTTGGATTTTACGAATTTTCAAATGACAGAAATTCGAAACATACTGTAAATCTATCGACAGTAGAATGGTTGCAATAACGAAAACATAGGAAGAATTCTTCTTGACTGGTCTATTGATTTACTCAAGAATTTTTTAGTCTCTCCCTTCGCTAAGAACTAAAACAATTTCTAAAATCGAAGGATCAATATCCTTATGCCAGACTCTACTCATGAATAAGAAAGATATTCATAACATCTTCCGTTGTTTGGAGAAGTATTCTGTCTTCAATTATATTCAACTACACACAAAAAATTAGTGATGGGGAGTATGATGTCGAAAGACCCGAAAATCCCTGATAAACCAAGTCAAAACATCACTGACGCCCCCCCCTTGGGCGCCTACTTAAAAGCGTATTTTCGAATTAAACGAATTTTGAGCAGGAGTAGAGGTTTATCCCTTGTTTCCTGTTTATGATTGAGTTTCCATCTCCTAAAGTTTTCACATTTTCTTTCATTCCGTGTGTGTAATTGATCACTCGTCAGCATGTAATAAGCATCCCTGTTTTATGCATAGATCTGTTGCACTTGGTCATTTCAACCTGGGCAGAAAAATCCGGGGTGGGTGGGAGTGTCTGAGAGAAAAAAAATTAACAGCCAGTGGGTGACAATGACACAACTGAACCATAACAAACATTTTACATGAAGTGCCTTCACTTTACAATGTATTCCATTTGTATAACAATTAATATGAGAAATTTATATTTTCTAGTGCAGATTAACCTATGACCACAGAGCTGCAAACAAAAAAGAAGCGCAGACCCCAGTTTCTAGTGTCAGTATTAATACAGTACCTTTTTAATCATTTCACTCCAAGCAAGGCAATAAAGCCACTAATGCAAAAGGAATTGCTGAGTGTGAAAAAAAAATAAGAAAACGAGAAACTTTATCAAGGAGCCAGAGCAATAAAAAGAGAGGAATCAAGAAGACACTGGATAATAATTGACATTGCAGTTCAATGTTTGAAGATCAAGGTTGACTGAAAAGCCGGAAGTGAGTTCAACAGGCAAGAAAAGAAATTGTTACCAAAGAACTTACGGTTAAATCTAGCCAACTTTAAATGATGACACGGACTGCGCTTAAATACATAAAGTATACGAGGGCCGACTGAAAAGTTTGTTTGACCAAAATACTTACAAGGAATGTAAGCGAATGAGGCTTATTTTTTAACATAGTCCCTCTTCCGGTCAACGCTTCCCTTCCGTCTGTGTTGCAGAGCTTGAAACCCATTGGAGAAGAAGCTTTCATATTGTTGGCAAAAAGAAGCCAACAGCAGCAGATATGACGTCATCGTGACTGCGATAATGCTCCCCATTTCCATTCGGCCATGTGCCAAAATTATTGTATTGTATACAGTAATAAATAATTATATAGAGAAATGGTAGAAATCGAACAAAAGAATGTTTCTTCCGCTCCTATTATGGGATTATCACAAAATTCTACTGTGGCAAACCAAATACAATTTCAAGCGCATGGGCCCAGACTACAGTGCGCCAAATTTAGCGGCAGTGGAGTCGGTAAATTTAAATTTAAGAATTTCTTGGTTCAATTCGAGAACTATGTTGCCTCGGTAAATTCTGAGAAAGCATAATTGTCACTTTTGAAAGTTTTTTTTTTTTTTTTTTTTTTTAACCGTCATGTGTTGGGGAACACATGATAGATGGGGTGACAAATCAGGAGAATAGGGAGGGTGATCAATCAGGTGTCAAAGCTAAAGTTACGCCCAGCAGGCATTGAAACCATGAACTTGTGTGCTGGAAGATTGTCCCGAGGAAACAGTCTTGATAGCCCTTTGTAACTTCAAGTTGGCATCGTACGCTCTGTTCATGGTGCCGCCTTTTCGAACCCAATGCCTTTTGGATCCCAAATTGGTGATACCATCTGCTCCACTGCAGATAAAAAAAATGACCTTCTTTGGATCAGGGGAAGAGGGGTCCTTCCACCTCATGGTGTGTCTCTTTGTCACTAGCTCGAAGTAAGTAACCTAACATTCATCGTGGTTTTTGGAAAATTTCAAGGAAACCAGGTAGATCTTCAAACAGTGTCATATTTTTCCGTGATGTACTCAATGTGGTGCGCTTTTGATCAGGTGGCAGAAGACATTGCACCCACCGAGTAGAAACCTTCGTCTTGCCAATTTCATTGTGCAGAATATTCTCAGCTCTCTCAAGGGATATGCTAATAACATTGGCTATTTGATTTATAGCCAATCGCCTGTCATCCATCACCACTATTTACATTATTCGGGCTATTATCCTCATCTTTGTCGCCATATTTATCACAAGGTTTCGGCCGTTGTACGCTCTGGCCTTCTTCAGGTGGTTAAAATGTAGAACTGAACCCTTTATTTCGCTCGCTGGGGTAGACTGTTCTAGTTCCACGTGCCATGTCTAATGGATGTCATTTATTAGTTATCTCCTGTTAACTCCCCTCTCCAAGTTCGCCACTGTCTTAACCAGGTATTGAACTCACACTCTTTGGGTTCTGTCACTGGATCTAACTAACGCTTTTATCCACTGTGCCAAGACACATGGCACAGTGGATAAAGGCCGTCTAGAATAATGTAAATAGTGTACATAATACCTCATCTCAGAAATATAGACAGATATTGAAGAAGGCCGGAGCGTACAATGGCCGAAACGTTGTGATAAATATGTCGACAAAGATGAGGACAATAGTCCGAATAATGTAAATAGTGTACATAATACCTCATCTCAGAAATATAGACAGATATTGAAGAAGGCCGGAACGTACAATGGCCGAAACGTTGTGATAAATATGCCTATAAAATGAGGATAATAGTCCGAATAATGTAAATAGTGTACATAATACCTCATCTCAGAAATATAGACACATCCATCACCAGTTGGTTAACACGATCAACATTTTCTCGGTAGTATTAGAAGACGTTCAAACATTGGGTCATCAAGACCCCTACTCTAAATTCAGCTGCCCACTTTTTCACTGTTGATAAAGCTAGAGCGTCATCCGCTAATGTCAGCGTGAATGTTCTTGTGGGCTGCACCCTTTTCCTGCAGGTAATTAATAACATCACGATGCCAAATTTTGTCTATTTTCAAGACAATTTGTTACTAGGTACCTTTGAAGACATCTTTGAATAGCCAAATATCATTTTACCTGCAAAAGACCATGTCAGTTATTAAGAGTAAGAGTAGAAATTAATACATACAAGATTTCGCAGCACTCGCATCACTCCTTCATAGTCAGATTATGAACTTTTCAGCCAAATTTCGTAGGTACCAGACAGCAAAGTTCATCAGAACAATTACCATGAAAGTATTTATAGAAAAGTCACAGGAAACTATATTAGGGCGGTGGGGAATTGGTAGGTAAAACAAAAAGTTTGTAGATACTTCTTTGGATTTTATCAAGAATCTCTAAACATATTGCAGGAGTACAAGAGCAATATTCGAAGTATGGACGAATGGTAGATATATATATATATATATATATATATATATATATATATATATATATATATATATAAGACTGATTCTGGAGAGAAGAATTGTCTAGCACGACACAGTGAACCCACTTTCCTAGCAGCAAACCTAGCAATGGATTCAATGTAATC